ATATATATGTGTGTACTGGGTGTCTCTTAAGATGGGTCGGAGTCATATTAGGGGCGGAGAATAGATCAAAAGGAACATAAAAATTATACTATTTTAAGATACTCGCTGTAGTGTTCGAATTAGAAAAGGAAACGTTTAAGTCAATATACGTAAGCCATATGCGGTTAAGCCGCGCTGCGCGAAATCGTAGAACAGCCCATACGAGCAGTGGCGGCGCGCAGGGAGGGGGAAGTAACGCTTCGTCGCCTAGCACAGCCTGGCATGGCAGTCCTATATGTTTCGTCACATCGCGCTTACACTATATCCAAAAATGTTATTTTAGCTGAAGTTTTCCTTATACATTTCTTATTATAATTCTTATTTAGCACGATTAAATATGTTTTAACTCAATTATAGATATGTTAAGCGATATAATTAATTAGAGCATTATGCAAAGCGTACGCTAATTGTCGCGATACCTTTCCTTATTTTATTATACGATGTTTCTATTTAATTACGCTTCGAGCACACTTGGAGCAATCGCGTCATTTTATATCTATCTATATTTAGTCGGAGTTTTATTTTTTGACATGTTAATGCATGTACACTTGAAATTATAGTATAAGCTCGCGTAGATAGCCGCTACATTGTAAATCCAGATGTATTATTTTTCCATAATATATAATGATGAATGATATATAATGATGCATTTGATTGAGGTTCTTTTCTACATGTTTCTTGTCGTTTAACAAGTTTAATTATATACCGTTAGAAATATTCTTAAATTTTATTAATCTTTAATGTTCACTGATGAATAAAATTTAAATTTTCTGTCACTGAAAAGATTATTTATGTATATGTTAATGAGATGTTTAAGTTTGTAGTAACTGAAAATTTAAGTGTATTGAAAAACATTAATTGAAAATTGTATTTTAGTATATTTTCATTAAACTATCCATTAAATTTAATGTTCATGTACATTAAAAATCTGTAACTTACAAGGAAAAGGACCCAACTGTCTCTCCCGATTTTAATGAGCATTTAGTGTCCAGACAAAAATAAGCGACACGTATTTTTTTACGTGCCCTTACGCACTTTTAAACGGTGAAACACTTCTTGGTAAAAAATTGATTTTTCTCTTTTGTAGCGAATATCTTTGGAAAAATCGGTGTTTTTCTTTCGAAGCGAAACTGGAACTGTAAGATATAGAAAAAAATTTTCAGAATGAAAATAGAATGGCTTCAAAAGTACTTTAGAACTATAATAAAAAAAACATTTTTAATAATTTTTTATATTTGGAGTACAAATAAGTTTCCGCAAATAAGTTTTTTATCAAAAATTAAGCATTGTGAAAGGACGGTACATAATGTTTTATTCAAAGTAATGGCCATCGCTAGCCACTACTTTTTCCCATCTTTCTGGCATGTGGATGTGTCGGAAAAACGCTTCATCTTCTTTTGAAGCTATCTAATTATCGATACAATTTTATCTTCATATGATGTGAAGTGCTGCTCAGACAGGTCATGCGTCATCGATCGGAAGAAGTGGTAATCGGAAGGAGCAATGTCTGGAGAATACGGCGGGGTAGAACTTCCCATTTGAGTGTTTCTAAGTAAGTTTTGACCGACGCCGCAATGTGGTCGAGCATTATCATGCAGGAGAATAATTTTGTCATGCCTGGAGTAGTAGTGGGCGCGTTTTTCCTTGAGTGCTCGGCTCAATCTCATCAATTGTGTTTAGTAGAGAGCCCCAGTAATGATCTCGTTCGTTTGAGCAACTCATAATACATGACACCAAGCTGACCCCACCAAATACACAACGTGAGTTCTTTTTCCATGAATATTTGGCTTGGCTGTCGATGTTGAAGCATGGCCAGGTGGTCCCCATGATTTCCTCTTCTTTGAGTTATCGTAGTGGATCCATTTTTCATCATCAAGTGATGAAAAATATATGCAAAAAACCCTTTCGTTTATGCCTGGTAAGCAGCATTTCACATGTGAAAAATCGACGTTCAACGTTTCTCGGCTTCAGTTCATATGAAACCCAATTCCCTTGCTTTTGAATCATTCCCAATGATTTCAAATGATATGAAATTGTTTGAGTCACTCCTAATGTACCAGTGCAAGTTCTTTTTGCGTTTGGTACGAATCTTCATCCAATAATGCTTCCAATTCCGCGTCTTCGTACACTTTCGGCATTCCGCTACGTTCTTCGACGACAAATTCATTCGTTCTTAAATTTTTGAAACCACTCACGACAACTTCTCTCACTTAAGGCAGCATTACCATATTCTTCTACAAGCAATCTATGAGCCTCAGATTTCTTCAAATTAAAGAAGTAAATCAAAATTTCCCGCAAATGACACTTATTCGGCTCAAAACTCGATATTTTCGTACAAAAAAAAATATATGATGCTAATACAAAATCGCTAATATTTGAAGGTTATGGTGTTGCCGGATGTCCAATCTTACGATATGTCGTTTTACATCAAACAATTTTAACTATAATTTATTAGTGGCGCCGTCTTTTGCAAACGGCGGAAATTTATTTATAATCCCAATATTTTAAGTCGCAGATCCCTTACATTTCATTAACACTTAAATTAATTTTTATAATTTATTAAATCTAGTGCACACGTTCATTACATTTAAGACAAGAGTAATTCAATTTTCAGTTACATTATTCAATTCTTTTCAATCACTGCATAACTAGGCTTCCGTTATACGTTACTTAAAATTCATTAAAACATTTCTAACAATGATATAAAATAAAAACGTAATTAATACGTTCAATCACATTTAATGATTTAAAAAAAAAAGAGAGGAACGTCCTTGAGAAGCACCGGTAAATCACTTTCTAAAAACTCTCCGTATGCCTGTGCACTGAGACGTGGCGACAAAAAATGAGGACCGACCTAAAAATTGCCAATTCTAAATACATTCGAAAAAACTATGGAAGAAAAGATATTTTTAGATTTTATAGTTTATTAAGAATATTTACCACTTGGTCCTTTAACACTCCTGCCCATACGTTGAATGATCAACGATATGGCGCCCTCGCGAATGGCATTTGGATTTTCAAATTGGCTGGTCAAATGATTTCTTGAATTAAACACACCATTTGGCATAAAGGTGGTCTCATCCGTCCATAAGATATAATCAGGAAATGAGGCATTTCGCCGAAAAATATCACGATGCATGCATATTTTATTGATGTTTAATCTCTGCAAAAAAGCGTTGTGATTATCGAATAAAAAGAATAAATACCTTCACAAAAATGAACGCGTGGTGCTTCATCTCGCTTCAGCAATTACTGCACGCGTTGATAATGAAATGGTAAATTATTTCGTAAAATGCGATGCATCGTACATCGCGATAAACCGAGTACGCGAGCTGCATGATGCACACTAGTTCTAAGATTTTCCTCGAACATCTAAAGGACTTCTTCTTCGAGACCGATGTTGCGAAACTACGGTCCGGTGGAGTTATACTGTAAGAAATGTATAACTGAAAAGTAATAAGTGATGTAAATGAAATCTAACAGAAAAGAGACCCAACTATCCACTTTCGATTTTAATGTTCGTATTCATAGTCAGACCTTATATTTAAAGCTTTCTTAAATTTATCTTCAGATACTCTATGAATTATTTCATTGGCTACTGCGCAAGATAAATTTAAGGAAGCCTTAAGTACAAGGTCTGACTATGAAAAGAAAAAAATTTTTTCCTTATAAATAAAAAAATAACTTTTATTATAAGAAATTATTAAAAAAGTTTTTTTTATTAGTTCTAAAGTACTTTTGAAGTCATTCTATTTTCATTCTGAAAATTTTTTTCTATCTCTTACAGTTCCAGCGACATTCGTTTCGAAAGAGAAACATCGATTTTTCCAATATTCGCTACAAAAGAGAAAAATCAATTTTTTTTCAAGGAGTGTTTCATCCTTTAAAAGTGCGTATGGGCACGTAAAAAAATACGTGTCGCTTATTTTTGTCTGGATACTAAATGCTCATTAAAATTGGAGAGGCACAGTTGGGTCCCTTTCCTTGTAAGTTACAGATTTTTTTTAATGTAATGAACATGGGCATTAAATTTAATGGATAGTTTAATGAAAATAAACTAAAATCTCAATTTTCAAATAGTGTTTTTCAATACACTTAAGTTTTCAGTTACTACAAACTTAAACATCTCATGTATACATTAATGTATACATAAATAATCTTTTCAATGACAGAAAATTTAAATTTTATTCATCAATGAACATTAAGATTAATAAAATTTAATAAAATTTAAGAACGTTTCTAATGGTGTACAATTAAACTTGTTAAACGGCAAGAAACAGATGAAAAAGAATCTCAGTCAAATTCATCGAATTATAAATCAAAAAATAATACATCTGGATTTACAATGTAGCGGCTATCTACGCGAGCTTATACTATAATTTCAAGTGTACATGCATTAACAGGTCAAAAAATAAAACTCCGACTAAATATAGCATAAAACGACGGGATAGCTCCAAGTGTATCTCGAAGCGTAATTAAATAGAAACATCGTATAATAAAGCAAGCGGAAAGGTATCGCGACGATCAGCTACGCTTTGCGTAATGCTCTAATTAATTACATCGTAACATACCTATAATTGTGTTAAAACGTATTTAATCGTGCTAAATAACGTAATTTATAATGATAAGAAATGTATAAGGAAAATTTCAGCTAAAATATTTTTAGATAGTGCAGGCGCGATGCGGCGAAATACATAGGATCGCCATGCCAATTAGGCGACGAAGCGCTACTTCCCCTCCCTGCACACGCTGCTTGAGTGTGGGTCGAATTCCTACGAATTCGCGTGGCGCGGCTTAACCGCATGGCTTAGACGTTTCCTTTTCTAATTTGAAAACTACAGCGAGTATCTCAAAATAGTATAAGAATTTTTTGTTCCCTTTGATCCATTCTCCGCCCCCAATGTGGCTCCGATTCATCTGAGAAACACCCTGTATATGTATGTATATGTGCGCGCGCGCGCGCGCGCGCGTGTGTGTGTGTGTGTGTGTGTGTGTGTGTGTGTACACACAGAGTATTTGGATAACTCTTTCGCACAGAATAGACTAAACTGAGAAGAACAGTCTCTAGCATTTTATAATTGTCGCAATGGTTATTAACTTATGAAGATAATCAAATTCGCTCAGCTCATGCAAGCGCCCATGACAGGACGAGGCGCGCGTCTACTGTCGCTAGATCTATTGTTTATAAGTGGCAATTGCCGTCGTTAGATATTATGTATCTAAATCCAGTTCTACATTAGTTGTAAATCAATCGCAAGTTTATTGTGACAGCCAATATGAAGTGTAGATTTCAAAATGCAAGCTTCAGATTGGCTGTCAATGATCGGCTTAATAGCGACGGCGGACGCGCGCCTCACCGCGTTGGGCTCCTATCCTAGTCCTATCCTATAGCGCGCATGCATTTAACGGTGGATTAAGCGAATTATTTTCTTAAGTTAATAACTCATTAACTATTGCGACAATTATAAAATGATTGTGGACTTTTCTCCTTAGTTTAGTCCATTCTACCACATGTGCGAAACATGTGCTTATCACTAATTTTCAAACATCCTGTATATATATATATATATACAGATATATAAAACAAAAATACAGGAAAAAAATATGGTAATTATACATATTAATGGACACTACGCCGATGACCTTGATCTTGATATATATTGTTAAGGTCATGATTCTAAGTAACTTTGCCTTAGCAACTAGGTGGCGGTCTCTTATAGTTTCTAAGATACGAGGGCAAGTCAATAAGTTTTTAGAAAAACATAGTAAAACACATTTTTTTTGATCGATTCATTTTTACTTTTCAACATAGTCTCCTTTCAGCTTGATCCAATGATTCTTCAACTTTTTCGAGCCGTCCGAATAATATGATTTGTCCAACCCTTCAAAATAAGCCTCTGTTTCGGCGATGAGCTGCTCTCTGTGGTGAATCTCTTTCCTCCAAACCATTTCTTCAGATTTGGAAACAGGAAATAGTCGCAGAGAGCTAATCTGACGAATATGCTGGATAGGAAAGCAATTCGTAGCGGAATTCGTTGAATTTAGCTATCACACGTGCCGCGCATGTGTGAACCCATGTATTGTCTTGATGGAAGAGCATTTTCTTCTTCGCCAAATGGGGATGTTTTTTTTTAAAATATTGTTGAAACGGTCCAATAAGGCTGTGTAGTAATTGCTATTGATTGTTTGCTTCGACGGAAGGTAATCGATATGAATTATATACGTGCATCCCAAAAAACTGTGACCATCATCTTTCCGGTCGACTTTACAGTTCGCCTTCTTCGGAGCTGGTTCACCTGGTGAAGTCCATTGTTTTGACTGTTCTTTCGTCTCGGATGAAATAATGGATCCATGTTTCGTCCACAATAATGAATCGGCGCAGAAATTCATCTGGATTACGTTGAAATGTCTCCAAACATTGTTTTGAAATCGTCACACAGTCGCGCTTATCCACATTGAGCAAACGCGGCACCCATCTTGCCGATAATTTTTTCATATCCAATTATTCGTGCAAAATTGAAATCATTGTGCCATGTGATATGCCTGTGATCTCAACAAGTTCGCGCACTTTCACTCGTCAATCAGTCAAAACAATCGTGGACTTTATTGATGATTTCTGGCGTAGCAGCCTCAATTGGATATCCCGAACGATGTGCATCACGTGGATACGACCACGTTTAAATTCACTCACCCAATTGTATACAATCGCAAACGCTGGTGCTATGAACATTATCCAATTTGGCTTTGATTTCTTTTGGTGTTAAACCTTTCATATGTAGATGTTTGATCACTGCACGAAACTCGTTTTTTTGCAAAAAATACAAAGGTTGTTCGCTTTAATCGTCTATAGAAATAAAACCACGCGATGAATTCCGCTCAAAATTTGATAGTAATCAGCTGAAAGATGCTACTTGTCAAAAAGTAATGTGACATGACACTGCGAATACCCTCTGACAGATTTTCTAAGAATTTATTGACTTGCTCTCGTATTTAGACTCAAAGATCTAATTTATATGGTATATCTTTCCGTTAGAAAATAAACACTAACACTAGAGAGAGAAGAATAAATATGTATCTACACTTCATATAGTTACTATTTTATTTCAAAGCCTTAAATGATCTATCTGAATTTTAAATGCTTATATGATTCTTGTGTGAATTTATATACTACGTATAATATATAGTCCCTAGAAACACGCGCCAAAATGATTTTTTGGTTTTGAGAATGCTAACTCTACTAAAATTAATTCTTATTTTTCGCAATAAGAATTAATTATTTACAGATTTTTATATGTTATTCAATATTATTAAGATCGTTTCGAAGATGCGAATAAGCATAAAAAATTTGTTAAATTACTAGCCAATTTAACTCGTGATATTACTGTGGTAGTTTAGTAGAGTAGTGAGAGATGGAGCAACATTACTATAAGTTTCTATCAGAATTCTATAGCCTATAGCCATTTCTTCCGATTAAAAAACAAAAGCGGTGCATGTCAAAAATGTTCTTTAGAAATTTCTATTTTTTAAATGATATAAACACGATGTTTACTGTTAGTCTATTGTTAGTAAATGACTATATATCAGGAGTAAAACATTAAGAAACAATAGCTGCGATTGGAATGTCTTCGATAACACATTAGTGTCATCTCTTGGAGAATCTTCAAAACTAAACCATACTCCTAATGTATTATATTCTATATAACAGTAATTGCACTAAAATAGACATAGAAGATACTAATTGTTTCTGAAGATCAAATGATTTACAGACGAGTGGTGTTACATGAAAAGGAGAATATTTATGATGGAATCGGTTGGCCGGACTGGAAATTAACGTTATGCCTACTTGGCAGCTGGGCGACGGTTTACATGGTGCTCTTTCAGGGTGTAAAGAGTTCAGGAAAATTTTCTTATTTCCTAGCTATTTTTCCATACATTGTACTGCTCGCACTACTAGTTCGTACGGTTACTCTAGATGGCTCAATGGACGGGATCTTGTATTTCATCACTCCGAAATGGTCCAAGCTTCTGGAGCCGACTGTTTGGTATGCAGCCGTGACCCAATGCTTTTTCTCACTCTCCGTCTGTTTCGGCAGCATCATCACGTACTCCTCACATAATAGTTTCAAGCACAACATTTACAGGTGAAATATAAAAAGTAATATAATTATAAAAAGTTATTCACAAAATGTGTTTACATGTAAGCATTTTAAAATTTTTACAAACTATTTAACATATGAACTTAGAGATGTCATAATAATTACTTCATTGGACACGATTACAAGTATGGTAGCCGGCTGCACGATATTCGGGATCCTTGGCAATTTGGCGTATGAATTAGGGGTGCAAGATATATCCAAAGTGGTCAAAGGCGGAGCTAGTTTAGCATTTGTGTCTTATCCCGATGCGATAGCAAAATTTAACTTTCTACCGCAGGTAATACTAATATTTATTTTGTTATATATAGGTAATGCTTAATACCGTTCATTAATTAAAATGCCAAATGTTTTTTTTTTAATGTAACATCTTCATAAATTTATTATATCGTTATATATATATATATATATATAT